TAGTTAGCAATTCGTTCACTTGAATGTATACGTGAATGTGTGGCGAGAAGTGCCGTAGGGAGTTTTAGTGTGTTGGTTCGATACCACCTGGACATTTCTGAAGTTCATGCAATGTCTTGGCGCCCTGATCTCCTTCGAAGCAGAGTGGCTGTTGTTACCCTCTGAACGCTATTGCTTGAAGTTTAGAAGATGATTCTATCGCTTGATGGACGCTGAGCATAAAGACCTCATTAAATGCTGTGCGTGCAAGTGGTTATGGTGGTCAGAGGATCATGTCGAATGGTTCCCTCGACTCGTTCCATGAACTTGAGGATCGCCAGGCACCATGCATCACCATTGCCCACCCTTGCGCATACCGTGACATGTCCGGACGGGTTCAAAGGATGTTTGACGACGGCAGACTGACGATGTCCTCCCCATATGTTTCGAAAGTTGTTGAGGTGGAACCGTGCTGGTGGACGGATGTGACCAAAGGAAGTGTGGAGGGGGACGGGATGCAGGCTATAACAAAGATAAGATAGAGCTCGTCCATCTGATAGTGTTCTGTTAGTAATATTAATCAAGTCCCGCAGTTATCTCACCAAACAATGAGTCCTCACTAACAGATAGTTAGGCCATTATTAGCGTGCAGATAGCGTTGACAGTCGCGTGTTGACAGCTGCCTGTCATCTCCAAGTCCCCGGATTTCCAGCCTTAAACCAAATCCGCTCTCAACTTCCCTTCCTCCTTCCTTTTCGACACAAGCTCCTGGTGGGTTTTCTGACGAGGCGAAGACACTCTCTCCGCACAGGAAGCGGGTTCCAGGCCGTTTTAGCCTTCATATCTCCAGTTTTTGCACCGCCATAGAGATGCTTCCCGAACCCTCTCGACGACGAGCGTTCGGCCCTATCGTCCAAAACCGAAGGATCGTCCAATTGAATGACACAAGTCGCGGGATCGCTCAACAGCCCGAATCATTCACGGGCGTGCGGGTTCACTGACTGCACGCCTTCGGGTCTCCGCGCATTGCGCATACCGTGTCCTGTCTCCATGTTGGTGAGAAGCCAGTGAAGCTCACAGAGGGGAGACAGAGAGGGGATCGACAACCAGGCAAGACAAGGACCCCCCCTGTACCCACATGAGTTTGTTGACTTTGAGAAGCACGAGGAATTGGCATGTGAAGATTGGCATCCCACTCTGTCCGTTCGTCTCGTCGACGGTAGTTGTTTGTGAGTGACTGACTTGTCCTGTCGATCTGGTAACATTCGGAACTGAAGCTTTCTTTTTCCACCTGCCCTACTTTTGCTTCAGTTGTTTCTCTCTGTGACGTCGTCTCCAAAAATCACCATTTCTGGCCAGTTCGTTCTTTGTCTTCCCACGCCTTACCTTGTTGGTTGTCTCATCGTTGTGTCAGTGAGCAAAGTACCAGTCGGATATTTTCGGGGTCATTGTCTAGGATTCCTTGTGGTGGTCACGCTCAGCGCCCCAAAATTCGGACGGCCCAATCGAGTACAAAACCGCCGTCAATCTGAATCGCCGTTCCCGTTCCCGTTTCGCTCCTGGGATGTTCAGTCCGTCACACAAGCTCAACGCTTATAACACTTCTACACGTCAATCCGGTTTTCAACACCGTGACCCAAAATGAGCTCCTCGGCAGCAGATCCCTCTGCCGCCAGGCTCAACAGTGATGTCCGCCAACGGCATCCTACCGCATCGGCGGCCAGCGAGAATGTAGAGGACGCTTCGCAGCAGCAGCAGCAGCCAGAGGCCGATACCGCCGCGTCGAGGGTCAAAAAGACATACGGCAAAACTCCAGATGGCACAGGTAAGGAGATACTTTGGCTTCTCGTTTTGCTCTCTACAACATAACGCCTCTCAATGAACTAACACAGCCCCCAAATGTTCAGTCTTCGTCGTCCCCACGACTCATGACATGGTCACCCAGCTCCTCGACCCTCGCGAGCCCAAGAACCTCTCAGATGTCGCCGTGCTCGCCATCATTGCTCTACACTTCCTCGCCGCCTACTACCTGCCTTGGGGCGTCAAGAGGCCTCTCTTTGCCGCCATCTTCATGTTCTGGAGATTGGCTTACAACGTCGGCATTGGTTACCTGTTGACTATCCAGTCCAAGTACAAGCTCCTAGTGACTTGGGCCAAGAGGTGGAAGCTGTTCGAGAACCCTGCGACTGGCAAGAACCCGCGCCCATGGCTCTACAATCTGCTCAAGAAGGAACTCGAGACCAAGATCCCCCAGGATTACAAGTTTGAAGAGGCCCCGATCGAGTACAACACCTGGCTCACCTTCCGCCGCGTTGTCGACTTGATTCTCATGTGCGACTTCATCTCCTACTGCCTGTTCGCTATCGTCTGCGCTCACAAGCCGGATGGAGAGGGTTTCTTCATGGGCTTTTCCCGTTGGGCTGCTGGAATCACGCTGGTTGGCTTCAATCTGTGGGTCAAGCTGGATGCTCATCGTGTTGTCAAGGACTATGCTTGGTACTGGGGTGGTAAGTTGAAATACCTTTGCCGAATCTCTCGGCTTCGTTGGACAATCGGAACTGACCATATTAGACTTCTTCTACCTCATTGAGCAGGAACTTACCTTCGACGGTGTCTTCGAGCTGGCTCCTCACCCCATGTACTCCATCGGATACGCTGGGTACTATGGTATCTCCATGATGGCCGCGAGCTACGACGTCCTGTTTATCTCCATCATCGCCCATGCCGCCCAGTTCGCCTTCTTGGTTTTCGTCGAGAACCCTCACATCGAGAAGACCTATAACCCGCCTCAGCCCCGTGTGAGGTCGGAGTCGGAGGCTGGTAGCCAGTCACAGGAGGTTGCTTCCGAGTACACTGTTCCTTCTACGGCCGGAAGACACGACAACACCCCACTGCCCGTCCACAACCTGATCGGTCTCAAGAACCTCGATTTCTTCCGTATCACGGACGTTGCCGTCGTGCTCCTTTCTGCTTACCTCGCCGTCGTCACTATGGTCACCCCCAACACCCGCTTTTACCAGGCTCTTTTCGTGTTGCACGCTTTGGCTTGGCGTTTGTGGTACTCGTTCGGTTTGGGAGTGATTTTGACCATGCAGTCTGAGGAGAAGATGTTCACTAGGCACTTTTTAAAGTACGGCGAGAGCGTGGGCGAGGCCTGGCGCCAGTGGAAGGGCATTTACCATCTGAGCAACTGCCTCTGCCACGCTTCCTTTATCGCTGCCTGCTACAAGATGTACGAATTTCCCGCCGATTGGACCTACGGCTGGGCGCTTCTCAAGCACGTCGTTGGCCTGGGCTTGATTGCCCTCCAGGTCTGGACCGCTACCAGTATCTACGAGTCGCTAGGCGAATTCGGATGGTTCTATGGCGATTTCTTCTTCGACAGCAAGAGGCAGCTGACTTACACTTCTATATACCGCTTCCTCAACAACCCCGAGCGCGTCTTTGGTACTGCTGGCTTGTGGGGCGCTGCCCTGATCACCTGGTCCCGCGCCATCTTCCTCATGGCTCTTGCCGGCCACTTCCTCACTCTTGCGTTCCTCGCGTATGTTGAGAAGCCTCACATGCAAAAGGTCTATGGCCGCAACCTGCGCGATGATGCCGGCGTCACCAAGTTCATCAAGCGTTCTCTGCCTCCCCCGGTCACTGAGTGGCAGCAGAGTATTGACAAGGTCCTGGATGAGACCAAGCACTTTATCGATGAGTTCGTAGAGGCTGCTCGCTCCAGACTCGCCACTGGATCGTCTACCATTGTCAAGGATACTTCGGCCCTCTTCAACAAGTACCCCGCTCGTCTCACTCTCAGCAAGATTTCAGCCGACCTTGCGGGCTATGATCCCAAGCATTACGGCCTGTCTCTGGCTGGTACACGTGTTGTGGGCACTAACGAAAAGGCCACTGGAAAGGAAAGCCCCAATGCTCGCGTGCTGAAGGATGTCAAGACCCAGGCGTTCGAGTACGGAGCCCCGATTCGTGTCAAGTGGACTGCGCCCGCCAAGCACAGCAAGAAGGACTGGGTCGGTCTTTACATGGTCACGGACAATCGCTCTAGGGAAGTCACCGAGGTTCCGTCTCTTGGCCGTTGGGTACCAACCAACCCCGGCGAGTACGATACCACTACCGACCAGGGCATTCTTGTATGGGACCAGCCCGTCGAGAAGAAGTCCGAGGATACGGATCTTGTCGAGGGTGAGATGATCTTCGAGGGTGACAAGCTTTGGTGGACACAGGGTGTGTTCGAGTTCCGTTACCACCACGGTGGCGGACACCATGTCATGTCCATCTCGGAGCCTTTCGAAATCCAGATTCCCAAGTTCGACGACGAGCACATGGGTGTCGATATCAGCGGAGAAGTTGGTGAGCGCGCCGTCGAGGCGGCTCTCTTGCCCGTCATCCGCAACTGCCTGGACCGCGACCCCGATATTGCGCCCAGCAATGCAGACGAGCGTTTCGGCGGCCATGTCGAAAGAGATGACAAGTATGCCAGGCGTGTCGTATACGCTATCCGGCATATGTTTGGTATTGACTTTGCCCCTGCGGTTGTGCTTGCGGACGGAAATGTCCGTAGGTTGGCTTGGAGGATATGTCACGCGAAGGAAGTTCTGGTATGTAATGGTCATATCTTTCCCCTTTTCAGTTTATCGGGTGCTAACTATTTATGCTCTACAGGCTCCATTCAGCATGTCACATACCAACGGCCGGACAACACCGGTTGATAACAAGTTCTCTGAGTAAAGGAATTCTAATTCCTAAGTGCAGAGACCGGGCACGGCGAAAATGCACCAGTGTCTCAACTGTTCCCTGGTGCTTTGCGTCCTTTAACAACGAGAATCAAGGTCGGAAAGGGCCTTGAGGTATGGAACAGGGGGCATTTGCATGAGAAGGAGGTGGACGGAGTTATGCATTCTAGGATGATCAAGCATTGAATGAGATACCATATCTGCATCTTTAGTTGGCGGACAGATGACAGGCATAAAATAGTAAAATCAAAGAAAGAACAAAATCAGAACTCTGCTCAAACCAATCGGAGACTCTGTGCTACAGTGGGGTGTGATGATCACAACTGCGTTGAACTGACTTCTTATCCCTTTTTACTATTCACATCTCTCAGTTCTATATGTACGTCTATATGCTTATCAACAACAGCCCTTTTGACCCTCTTTTCATGTCGACTTGCGGTGCATAACACCAGCGCCAGCCTGCAACATCAGTCAGTCAGTTATACACATTTCATAACCCCACGAACAGAATAATCACGAGCGAAACATACCTGATGGCTAGGGAAAACCAACGTATCAGCAACAACAACGTTCTCCCGTCTCGTCGCAACAAACACCACAATCTCGGCAATATCATCCGGCGTCAAAGGATCAACACCAGCATAGACCGCGTCGGCCTTGCTCTTATCACCATAAAACCTCACCACGCTGAACTCGGTCTCGACCTGGCCCGGGTCGATCTCCATGACGCGGATGCGCGTGGCGATCAGCTCCTTGCGCAGGGCGTCGGTGAAGCTGCGGACGGCGGCCTTGGTGGCGCAGTAGATGGAACCTCCGGCATACGGCTCGCGGCCGGCGATGGAGCCGATGTTGATGATATCGCCGGAGCCGCCCTCGGTTCCGCGGGCCTTGAAGATGGGCAGGATGGCTTGGGTCATATTGATCAGGCCGGTGACGTTGGTGGCGAACATGACGTTGATGTCTTGTTCGGCGATGGAGGGGGCTTGGGCGACTTTTTTTTTGGGGGGGTGGTTAGTAGCATTTCAGTGAGGTTTTGGAGGTCAAGTAGGGGGGACTGGAAACAAACCTCCTTTCACGAGACCACTACATATTATCATTTTCATTAGCATTTTCCCTTTTTCAATCTCCCGCATCATTATCACCTCACAGGGTCACAAAAACTCACGCATTATTAACCAGCACATTAATATCCTTCCACTCCTCCGGCAAGCCCCCCACAAACCCCCTGACCTCCTCAGGCTGGCTCACGTCCAGCTTGACCGGCAGCACTTGCACGCCCTCGCCGACCTCCTCGCGGATCTCCTTGGCAATCTGCTCCAAGGCATCGACGCGGCGGGCCGTCAGGATCAGCTTGAGGCCGTGGTTGGGCGCGGTCCGCGCAAACTCGAAGGCGGTGCTGCGGCCGATGCCGGACGAGGCGCCCGTGATGACGATGGTCTTGCCGGCGAGGCGCTTGGCTACTGCTGAGGACATTGTTCTTTTGGTTTGGCGAAGAGAAAAGGTGGAGGTGAGGTTGGTATTGTAAGGAGAAGAAGAAGAAAAGGTAGGGGTGGTGAAGCTGCTTAAAGATGTGGAGCTCTGATGACGATGAGTGGTGGTGGTGGTGGTAGTTCTAACTGCCGAGGAGATGGTAGTCAGATATCTAGCTGCGAGTCTTGATGCTGCTGCTGTTGGTGGTGTTCTTATGGAAAACATGAGAATGATGAGACGACGTTCCGAATGACTTCCGAGCTTACCTCCGGGTTCCGGGGCTGGTGTAATGCGACTTGAACTTTCAGATAGCGGATCATGACGAACGGGCAGCTCCGGTTATGTCAAAGACGCTGCCTGCCCCGCATCCCCCGTGGCCCCGGCCGGTAGCTCCCCGGCCCGAGCACCCCCAAGCTACCCCGCATTCACGATGATCGCGCCATATTGGTCAATTCATAGACAATACAATTCCATGGAGACGATGGCAGATCTATCAATCTTGTGATGGGCAAGCAAGCAGACGATTAGAGGTGAGTAATGGAATCCCATGTCCTTGTTTTATGATCGCTAACGTTTACGCTTCTATCAAGTTATTGTGTGCCTTTTTGAACCCTCCTCGCTGTCATGTGTGATCTGTCTTGGACATCAGAAACAAAACTCCAGAGCCCAAAACTCCCCCTGATATCGATATCATGATGCTAACCGATATTCCGAACCAACTCAACTAGCGTCAACCATCGATCATTGAGGCTGATCGGTCCTCGCCTGCTGCTTCTTGCGTCTCTCTGCTTCTCTCCTTTCGGCGAGTTCGGCCTGTCGACCGGCTTCATCTTCTTCCCGCTTCTGCATCATGTACGCGATAGACAATTGTCTCGAGCGGCGAGCACAGAAGGCGCAGATTGTACCAAGTGCCGTAATTGCGCAAGCAACGATCATGGACGTCTCCAGCGCCTTGGTATAATGTTCCAAAGACAAGTCCAAAGACAATGGAATGTCAGAAGTACCCTGTGTTCCAAGCGCGGCGCCTGAGACCGCGATACCAATGCTACCGCCCCATATGCGAAGAAGAGCTACCAGTCCCTGCGCCGTGGCATGTTCGTACACGGGCGACTCGACAATCGAAAGTGTTGTCGACGCCGCAGCATTGAGTCCGAACCCGAGACCAACGAGGCTCACGTACACCGCGTACAGTGTGGTCCCGAACCGATGGGACGATGTTGCGTTGGCTGCCGACAAAGCGGTTCCTAGTGTCATCAACATTCCTCCAGCTGCTATGGTCCAGTGCAACACGTTGCGCTTCTGGCTGAGTCTCGGAGCCACCATGCTACCCAACGCCGAGAACCCAAGCATGGGCAGAAGCATAGCGCTGGCCTCGAGAGCGCTGTACCCGTTGACAACCCTGAACCTCATCGGGAAGACGTACAGCGTCATGAGATAACCAAAGCCCAGGCATGCTGTGCTTACAGCCATCAACACATATACGTGGTTCTTGAGGAGCACCACCGGGATGACTGTAGTCATCCGGTTTCTCAAGTTTGTATTGTCAACGATCACGGTCCAGACCGCGAGGAGGATCAAGCAAAAGAAGCCTGAGGCAAACGGTGCAATAAACAGGTGATCGTTCCACCCGGAACCTGCCCTCACGTTTTGGAAGGCCCAAGTGATCAAAACGGCGGCTCCCGTGCTGTGCGCTCAAAGGGTCAGTGAAGTTCAACCCAGGCTTCTTCATCCCGGGACTGAATCTGGGAGGGACGCTACTTACAGCAGGAGGGACCCTAGTACGTCACTCTGCCACAACGACCTACGTTGATAAGCAGGTAGATACTCTGGATGGGGCCATGCAAACAAGAATACTATCCCAGCTACTATTCCGGAAATACTGTCCCACGGCAACCCATTAGCATCCCACTCTCGAAAAAAGAAAAGGTCAAGTCAGGGCACTCACTTGATCCAAAAGATCCACCGCCAGCTCAAATAATTCGTCAAAACACCACCCAAAATCGGCCCTAGCACACCAGCAAACGCAATAATAACCCCGATAATCGTCCCAATAAACCGCTTCCAACGGGGCGGCGTCACCTCCGTCAGTATGATAATCGCAAGGCTATACAGCCCCGAGCCGCCCACCCCTTGAAATGCGCGACAAATCAACAGTTGTGTAAACGTATTCGCACCCGCACATCCTATCGAGAAGGCAACAAAGAGCACATAGGCCGCGGTGAACGCCCGCTTCCTGCCCACCACGTCCGACACCTTGGCGAACAAGATGGCACACCCGACGAAGGCTAAGGTGTACGCCAGCGCAACCCAGTTCACGGCGTCTAGCTTGTCGAATTCGCGGCCGATTTCGTACAGGCTGGTGGCTACGATGGTGGTGTCTAGCATGGAAAGGAAGAGACCGAAACCGACTCTGAAGGGATCATTGTCAGCGAAGGTCAGGAGGGAGGAACAGAGACTGGCTGGCAACTTACCCTAAGCAGAGAAAGATATATCCCTTGACAGGTAGGTCCTGCGGAGGACGAGGAGGGCCAAGATCGGGTGCGATATCTCCGTCAACGTCGTCGCCGCCGCCGTCGGCTTGAGCAGGAGCAAAGTTTTCTCGCCGCTGCCGATTCTTGGTATTAGATATGCAAAATGACGCCAGAAAACGAAGTACTAGAGTCCCAGCGAAGCCTCTGACCTCGATGTTGATGGCGGTGCCATCATCGGCCTTGGGTGGTTCCTGGACCTGCTGCTGCTGATTGCCTCCGGCACGGGTCTGTTGCGGGTTGATATTCTCGAGTTCGATAGCAATGGGGTCTTCCGCCGCGTTGGGGTTCAGTTGAGGAGGAGGTTGGGGAAGATTCTCGACATAGTCCTTAACGATTTCTAAATTGCTCTCACCCGAATCGCTGCCGTCCCGAGGGGTCTTCTGTAGCTGAGCCCCGGAAGCCTGTTGCGGGTTGATATTCTCGAGTTCGATAGCATTGGGGTCTTCCACGTAGGGAAGCAGTTGAGGAGGGGGTTGTTGAGAAGTCGACTTTTGTTGATCATTCCTCGATGGGCTGTTCGGACCGAACCAGTAGTCCTCAACGATGTGTAAACTGCTCTCACTCGAATCGCTGCCGTCCCGAGGGGTCGTCTGTTGCTGAGCCCCGGCATTCTGCTGAGGTTCTGTGGAGGCCGATGGTGTCGGTTGTTGCTGGGGCTCCTCCCCTTGAGCTTCTTGACGCCAGATCCGTTGGTTAAACATGGTGAAGTAGTCTGGAATAACCATCAATAAGGGATGATGAGATAAGTAGTCTGAGAGATAAACAACGAGCGAGTGTCTGTTGGATAACCATATGAAGCCGTATTCAAACTGGGGGTCTTTGGGCGAAGTAAGTGGAAGAGTTCAAAAGGTCGAAGGGGACGGATTCATAACCAAAACTTCTGAGGGCCTAATGGTTCCAAAACAAGAAGCAAGAAGCAGGAACGAACGCCGGGTTTTGTTGTTGTCAAGTCATGGTCGACTTTTGGGAAGTTTTCTGGGAAGTCGTGATCTAATCGAGCACCACTTCTTTGCCCGGCGGCGAAGGGGGTCAACTAAGTAACCTGTGCGTACTTCCCAGCAGGTAGGTGCGAGCTTCGACGATCCAGATTATCGGTTTCGTCGGTCTGGGAAGGGGGAATACCGGTCATTATAGAAAGGGCCAGCCATCTGAACAGTATGTCTTGAACGAATGCGATGAATGCGAATTCTCGCCTCTTCAAACGCCCCCCTCTCTCCTATTCCCGTTGCCATCTCACTTCATATGCCACCCTAACCAAGGCCGCGGTCCGTAGGTTCGCTAACAGAGTCCGCAAGTAGACTAGTCAAAACGGTTAGAAAACAAACAAACTGACAGGACAAACAGTGCCAACAGAACTAAGACGATGCGGCGGCCGGTTCTTCCTCTTGCGGACTTCCAGACTCGCACACTCGCTTCTGATTTGCCTCTTAGGCGGAAGAAACAAAAAAGTAAGAACGAGGCGCAGATATAATAGACTGAAGAGCAAAAGCACCTTCCTGTTATATACAATTTTTAACGAGAAAGAAAGGTCGGTATGGCACACCATGCACATGATCGCTGTCAGCATGGCTATAGTGTCAGACGGACATGACAGACCTTAAGTCGCAAGAACAACCAACTCTCCAATGACATGGGCGGAAGAAGCGAGGAATATCTTACCAACGAGCTAGCACAACAGCAAAGCGACCAACCAACCCAACCTCTCGTGTTGAGTTGACCAAATGCGGCAACGACTACAGTTGGCAACCGTTGCTTTTGGTTGCAGATGTTGGGGAGGGTCGTACGACAGCTGAGACGAAAAAGAAGAAGCTTCGAGGCTTTGCTTAGGGAAGGTCAACATCACCGGCCAACGACAAAACTGTGCCGTAGCTTCCTTACTTAGCACAACCCACGACGGTCCATGGCCGAATCGGCTGCTTTCGCCTTCGCTTTCGGTAAACAGCAATTGTAGAACCAATGATGGAAAGACCCCAACGGCGATAGCAGCGCCTCAATTCTTTCTACCGGCCTAGTTCCGGCAAGTCTTCAGTTCTGGCGTAAAAGGTGGAATGCCATTGGTTGGTGTGGGTTTGGATGTAGTTTTCTCGGATAAGGCAAGTCTGAAGGAAGTACCTTTCTCCTTTCTGATGAAAGTGATGAGATAATTTTAGCTTGTTTGGTCCAGCCGTGGTCTGTCTCAAATCTCGATGTGCTGCATCGGAAGCCATCCGGAGTCGGGACGGGCCGAGGTTGAGACTCGGGTCAAAAACAGTCATTAAGGGTTGTCGGACACTTTCGGCCAACATTGACTTGTGCTTATCCTAGACTTGTCGGAGCATCATCGCCATCTTATCTATAGATATCTCATCATCCCTAGACCAGATCTTGGGAGTGAAGGACGTCGACAAATCTTATTTATGCTCGGACTCCCTTGCTTCTAAATATTCAAAGCACTTAACGATGAGTATCAAATTCCTGTTGCCACGAGAATGTTGGTGCCGAGACGGTTGCCAAGCATGTTGGATGTGTCTTCCGCCTCCTTCTTAACCATCGTGCTCTGTGCTAACCTGGCTAGGCCTGTCAGACAACCGATTCAGACCGATGCTTTGATGGAATCAAACGGACACGTAGGGACGATCAGTCTTGGTGTCCACAAAAACTAAAGTCTTGCAAGATTCGATGAGGGTAACGGAGCTCAAATGAGTTATCTTTTACGTTCTGCTCGTCTCAAACGGACACTCAGATTAATACTCGAGGTAGAACTACAAGTACTTCCGAGGCGAAGTGATTGTCTGTATTCAATCTCTCAGCAAATCCAACACATGGAGGCGGATTAACCTAAACATGCTGGAGTCTAGTGGGTCGTCAGGGATCTCAAAACGTCTAGATTTAATCTGATACCTTCGTACTCAAGCGATCTTGTGACGGTTGGGGCCGTTCAAGGTTCTTTCACGTGCACAGAGCCCATTCACGAACGGCTTCCATTCACAGGAGGTCCATGTTCTGGATCTGGAACCTTCAGAGTTCGTGGGTACAAACCCCCATCCTCCTCCTCGCGCCTTCCATTTTGGTGTTTCCTTCCTTCTTCAACTTGGTGTTTTCAGTCCAAGACAACCACAGTCCTGCAGTCATTCTGTCAGTTGCACTTGCTTTGGTACGGTCGTAAAAATACCATCTAATGTCTCCAGGTTCAAGTGGTTTGCACATTTCGTCCGATGCTGTTTACATTTCGAACCTGCAAACGCTTGTTGAACCTTTGCGTCCTTGGGATCGAACGGGGGCGAATTTCGATAACCCATTCACTTGTCGATTTCAGGAAGTATAACTGAAGTGTTCTCAACTCTCGCTGCTCCACTCTTCTCTCCCTCTTCCTCTTTTCATTTCACGATATCCGAACCCGCCACTCGAACCACCGACACTTCCCAATTACAACACCGCTACGATTCCGGCCAAAATAATAACGCTTCCACTTCTGGCCAGGTCACACTTTCAGACTTGCGCGCGAAGCTTGCCGCCGTTGAAGCCGGAATCAACAGATACTATGCCAAGTTGGAGAAGATTCCTTACGAGTGTCAGCCGGATCTTATCATCTGGCATTACGTTAGGTCCATGACTCAGAACCTCAAGAGCAAGCTCAGTACTTTCACCGTGGAGGAGCACGACGGGTACGCTCAAGTGGCTGCTGTCCTAGATACTATCTTCCCCGACCTCAAGAGGTTGGAGGATAACTGGAAGATGCACGCGCCCCCGGAGATGCAGGATTGAGGTATATCGCCCCCTCTGTTTCTCACACATGTTCGCGTCACAGTCTTGAAAGGTAGGTAGCTAACAGAGTTTTACAAGGCCATGCGATCCTCCGTCGGCGATGCGCACCCGTAATAGCTCATGAGAGTCGAAGTGTGATGCTGGTAGCGTGAGCAGACAACTGAGTTGAAAGTGAGAGTGGAATGATGGCAGTGGACAGGCGGGCATCTTCGGGGAGTTGAAATGCAATCACGTTCAAGGACGGAAGGGAAGGAGTGTCACTTCTGGGATCCAAACCTCGTTCGTACTTCTCAGTCTAGGTAAACAACTCCTTCTCGACAGCTGTCAGTCCCACTTGACGACACATTGGGAGAGTGCAGACAGAGAGTCTCGTGGTCACCTCGCTAATTGATCGTGTCAGTCTAGCGCTAGGTGAACTTGTGTCTTGCTTTCCTTGACTAAGGTCTTCAGTGCCAGTTCAAAGTCTTTCTCGTCTCCAGCCAGTTTTTTGTGACTGATCCTTGTATGATCCAAACATTCATCAACCGCTCCTTCTTGTTATCGTCTACACTATTCAATGTAAGTAGTGCAGCATGCACACTTACTTCCCGGGCTCTCTGTGTCGTTGTTTCCTGCAATGTTTTGATGCTGGCAGTTTAAGATTCCGTAAAAGTAATTAGTGGGCTCCATGGAGCTGAAAATGAAGGAACGAAGGAAGCTTTCAACCAGATGTACCTCTGTTAATGACCGCCATGCTTAAGTATGGCAAATCTGATCGCTCTACTAGCCCTTCTAACAGACTTGCTGAGGCGGTACTTGTTGCTGCAGTGTCGCAAGGAACTGGCGCGCAGTTGCTTTGGGTCTAGTAGTCACGATGTATAAGCCCGATCTGAGAGAATAAGGTACCTAGGTAAGGTAAGTTGCAGTGTTTTGATCGGGTTTGAGCGGAGGTAGGTGCTATCCAAATTGTTCCTGGTATTCGCCGACAAATATACCTATCCTTTCAAACGAACACTCGAGCCGCGAATTTTATTTTCCTTCCGTCTGTAACTTTGCAATTACAGTACTCTTACTCCGCTTCAAGTTAGCGGGTCAACTTCTGAAAGGAACTGAGTCTCTCCGAACTCGGGGTTTTCGACCAAGACCATCGGATCGATACACAGAAGCACCGATACCCGGGTGATACTTTGATAGCTTTGGTAGTAGGTTACCACTTATATTTTACTCTCTTTCCCACTTCGCTTGCATGTTATTCGTTGGTTCGATGCGCAGTAATTCTCGTGCCGAATCACACCTCGGTAACACAACATATCTCCTCTCCCTTTTCAGCAATGCAGTGAACTGAAGTCAAGTAACACAAACCTTCAACATCGTCCGTGTCCTCTGTCCCGCACCGTGTCCCGTCCCCCGCGCTGTTGGTGCCGTTGGTGCTGCTGTCCTGCTGGCTAGCGGTTGTCCCGTGTCTCTGGGGCCGGTACTCGGTAGCGAAACGAGTGAGCGAAACGAGCGAGCGAACCACCGTACTGGACATAACCGGATCGGATTCGGTTCCCGTCGGCTGTTAACCGTATGTAGAATATGCGGGGAAAGCGAAGCAGCGAGCCAAATTTAGAAAAAATGAGTGTCCAGTGTCCAGACTACTCTTGCAAATGCCGATATGGACCGTGGGGCGGGTGTGGGGGATCCCCCGGATTCCAGTCCGGAGACTCGGGTTTCCCAGGACGAGCTCCGAGGATACGGTACCGAGAGCGCCCAAATCCCAATAGACGGGCGGTGGGAAGAAAGACAGTTGGGACTTAATAATCCGTCGGGATCAATAGGTGGTGACGTCCGGATGCGGTGGTTGTGGTCTGATTGCGATGACATCGGGATGCCCAACTTTGTAAGCTAAATTTGTAGAACTCCCATAGCGTTGAGCTAGGAGTCAATAGTGGAAGTTCCACTGGACACCTGAGGATAACATGATTATTTCCATGTTGAGGTTCGTTCAATTTACATTTTGCCAATTGCTATACCGATGAATCACTCCACTCGTTCAACCCATAATCTGTGACCAGCTATGCTGCATATCGAAATCTGATAGAGAATGCCTAGTACCCAAGCTCACCAAGCTCCCAAGGTTCTTGAACATCCGGTAACAGACCACAGCCTGGACCATTAACCTGTGTTAAATATCGAATGCACAACGCGTGATGGAGCTGATAGATATTGACATCAACCCAGCGGTAGATACCTGCAGGCATAACTCAAAAGGGAAGCGCTCGAACCCTTATGTTGTCAAGCTGGAGTCTTAGCATTGCCATTAGAATTACTTGAGGGTATCATGATCCAGTTCACTGTCTTTCTTGGCTGGGTCCTGACCGTTAGTTCCGCGGATCGTTGGATTGGTACATAGGTAGGTGAGGGAGGGGGGGACGGTCCCTGAGCGTCGTGTCGTGTCGTGATACCTGTCTGTAAATCTCATGAGGTCTGGACTGATTCCCTACCTAGGGACTCAGCTTGCAGAAGAGAACTGAAAAAGGATTCTGGCTAATTTGCCACTGAGGATGGCCATTCAGCAGCTTCAAAGCTGGGCACAATGTTTGGCAAAAGCCGACGACAGGTGTCACCAAACCAGACAAGGGCCAAGTTCGGATCTTGTGCTACTCCCTGCTGCTTTGCTGTGGTCTGTGGATGGCCCTCCTCTAGGGACAGTCCAAGAGAGAATGGGTCAGGGGAGAGACAAGCTTCACACAAGCTTTGTGGACTCCCCATCAACCAAGCATTTGCCGAGAGGTGGATGTGGCTTGTACTATGTTGGCGATGGCTGGTGATGGGGGGAGCAATGAACCATCCATTGACTAGCCAACTCATGCCAATGAGGGGTGCTGAAGGGAGGGGAAAGGGCGAAAATCCGGGGCCCCGCCGTGATTCCCGTCTTCCCGCCCGTGGGTATCCACAAACTGGCCGGGGCTCAAGTCGGGTGGAACAAAAGTTAGACTTGCTCCTTATGCCGGCGCTATGAAAATAGCCGGTGCCCTGGACCTGGACCTGGCGGGTTTGTAGAGGTATGTGTGTGATGAGTTGTTGCATGTTGCAGCGTCTAGGTCTCAATGTTTCTCTGGCTTGCCATTGAGAGTTGGTGAAGAAGATCGCCAGTGCTGCTCTTTGCCCCAGCTTTCATCTTTGTCCGGGCGCATGCGTCCAGATTCTCTCAAGTGCCCCGGCTGTTGTGGAGGCAGGTGCCGAAATGTCACCCAAGACCGGCACCGTTCGGTAGAGGTAGAGATATGTACCTTGGATCGTGACATGACACGACATGACAAGCTGCAAGGCCGCGTTGAAGCCCTTGAAGCTGCAGTGCAGTGCTTTGCGCGCGCTTGTGTTGTGGAGAACTTTGAAAGGCTAACGACGAGAAAACGGAAGGGGGAAACGGAGGTGTTTTAGTGCAGAACTAAACATCATCCCGGGCCACCACCAACTTCATTTACCAAGGAGCTAAAGCTTTCCCCTGCGTCAAGCCGTCGATGGCTTCAACAACGGTTATCCTGTTGAAAAGAAGGGCACTTTCCCCGCAAAGTCGTCGGCGTTACGGGCCTGTTTGGCGCTGAGGGGAAATACTATGGGGAAATGGAGACCACCGTGAACTTCAAGAACCCGATATATCTTCACATGACACATGACAGATGAGCTCGGTTTCGAGGAGATATTATCATGAGCGATCATGAGGAGGAGGAGGGAGGGCACCAGCTTCACACACCACTACTGACCACTCAAACCACTCGGAATCATTCCGCTTTTCGTCCCTTTGTGCATCTGTTTCCCCAGGTTTTGTGTGTCTGTCGGGCCAGAACTTTGCCTTTCGCTTAGTTCCTTTACCCCGCATCCCCCAAAACTTTGTCGAGTCTGGTTGACACTGGCAGAGGAAAAGTGAGAGCTGAGTCGGACTCTTGAAAGTCAAAAAATTGGGGTTTCGTTGTTTTGTTAGTGCAGTGAGTGTAGAACTCCACCGGATCCCCCTCCAACACCCGGCCCGGGCGCGACGGGCCGTGAATCCAGATTGGTATGGAGCCAAGTTCGGACAGCCCATCTCTTCTTACGGCCAATCAAATTGCAGGGTTTTGACTTCATTTCTCTGCTTCGGGAAGGGTTCGTTGTCTTGCAGTGCTTTTCTCAGAGGTACGATCGATCTCCCGCCGCCGCCACACTTGATCACACTGTTTAGTCCAGGTCTTTCCGAAAGATAAAGAATTCAATGATCTCTGTGCCTCCATCAACTACCTACTAAGTTGTGGTGTCTACAGTAGCGCCTTCTTCATTCCTTCTCCACTTTCCATCCCCAGCTTCCCCGGATTTCATGGATGAAGAAATCGTCAACACAAACTAGCGTGGTGTATAACTCGGACTTCTCTCCATTAGTTCACACCTGAACGTTGATCTCTTGACCCCTCGAGCACCTCGAGACTCCCGAACACCACCCCTCCTATGGCCCTATTTCCTTTCCTGGAGTTCTTTGCAGGACCGGAGGGGCGACGGGCTGCCCGTCATGCCCATGACCTTGACCTGGAAGTATGTATACGAAGTATAGGCGCTCAGACAGCTGAGGCAGCCTACGGTACCCGAACCTTGAGGGCCAGCGGTAATAGTTGACGATACCCTACCTTATTTTTTTCCATATCTGTGTCTTGGCGGCGGTACAGTCCTTGGCAGCTTTGGAAATTTCGGCCCTGATATCCATCTCTCACTCCACTCTGTACGACTTGAACTCTGTACAACCTGAACACTCCACTGTGGCACCATGCCATCGACGCCTGTACACTGCACAGGATGGATCGATGGTAATCTATCATTCCCACGTGTTTCTGGAAATTGGACAAAGAGGCGTATTCATTGTGGAAATCCTGGGGTACAGGACTGCGGAGTGCAGAAAACTGGAGTTCGCTTGTCGGTCGGTTCTGCAGGTTCCAGTTCTGTGACCTGTCGGTCGTTTTTCCCCAGATTTTCCGTTGTTCGCTTGGTATCCCGAAGTTCACTGTCCAGTT